TTTTTAAGCAAGTAGTAATAATATAACTAGTTACAGTGAACTAAATTTTAAATTTTAACTTTTAACATTTGTATTTTTAACTTATATTTTATAAGAAGAACTTGACACATATTATTGAGCGTGGACCTGAACAGGATATACGATCAAAATAAGTGGAAAAACGAATGTGATTGCGTGTGATTGTGCAACTGTGTTCGTACACCTGAAGATGACCTCTTGAGGTCGAAACATGTAGTGTGACAGTAATAAAAAACGTGTTGTGTGGTTGGTAAAATTAACTCTAATATTGATTAAATACACAACAGGATGCAAGAAACAGTTAAATTACTGAGGTATCTTATTCTCAATGACTAATTAAATGAAGCATCCTCCCACATGAATCTGCAGATCTACACATATTTTATTAGAATATAATTGGTCATGCTTCTGAAGTATTTTGTTCTTGATTATAAGTCAGTCTGCCTGGGAATGAATGCTTTATCCGTTTCAGCAAAAGATTGCAGTCAAGAAGTAAAAGCAAAATAAATTCCTAATGAAGTTTAAACTTCATTCAAATCAATTTTTTTAAGGTGGTGTTTCTTTTAGAGAGAGTGTGTGTGTGTGTGTGTGATAGTGAGTGAGTGAGTGTGTGAGCGAGTAAGTATGTGATCGAGCGAATGAGTGAGTGATAGATTGAGAGAGAGAGAACCGTGAAGTCTAATAATATTGTTTATTCATGTTCATGTCGACAGACAGTGAATAGTTGCATGGTTCTTTGTTGGGCAGTAGTTCATCATAGCTTTTAATTATTCAGTAGTTTTCTAAAATAGTGCATCCGTGGAGTTACAGAATATAATTTCCCTTTCTCACATTATCTACATTTTCTGTTCTTAAAGTAATCTGAAGAAAATGGTTATGAGTGCTTTGTCATGTGTAATTTCTTCTGCCAAATGCACCTGCTGAGGGTATACTTTATATTTACAATCCTCTCTGAGTTACGGTCCCCAACGGTGACTGTTGCATTGCTGTTCTGCTCTTAGCATTAAGTCCACATGGGTAACGTGTTTCAGCAGCTGGATCCCGCAAGACCTTGAAGGTGGGACTCACACAGCAGCCATGGTATCACAGTGTGGATCGCAAGCAAGCAGAAGAGATGCTACGTAATGGTCAGTATTGGCTGAGGAGCTCCAGAGGGTTTGGATAATTGACAGACAGTGCAAAAGGCACTGATCTTGCATGTTACTCTGCCTACATACATAGTGGGGCCAGAAACATAGTGCTCGTGCCATACTGTTATGCTTGACTGTTGCAGAGGAAGATGGTAGCTTCCTTGTGCGCCCCTCGGCACAATCACAGAATCCCCTATCGCTGACACTGTGGTACAGAAGGCGACTGTACAACATTGGCATCCGTCACAGGTTGGATGGACGCTACGCACTTGGAACTGAGAAGGAAAACGAGCAGGTGCCTAGCTCAGAGTTTCACTAGCCTCCTCTTCCTTCTTTTGAGCCAGTCCAGTCAGTACATTATTTGCATTTTTGTTTCTCCCCATACCTGCTACATATCCTGTCCATCTCATCTTTTTTTGGTTAAATCAGTCAGACATTATGCAAAGACAACTGATTTCCATGCTTATCATTATGTAATTTCCCTCTTCACTAAGATCCAAATATTTTTGGCACTTTCTTTTCAAAATACTTTATTTAGTCTCTGCTTGTCAGACCAGGTTTCACACCCACACTCAGATACAGACTGGAACAGTACAGATGCTGGTTTGTAGGTTATGTAATGCTACTGTGTGAACTTACGAATGCATTTTTCAGGGCAGCAATTAAATGAATGACAGGCCTGTTTATTGTGTGCAGAGTTTTGCTTCAGTGGAGGAGCTGGTGCAGAACTACCAATCTGAGAAACTCGTATTATATAGTGGGGGTGAGAAGACAGGCCGTACACTGCTGACAACTTCACCACCCCACTGACTGCTAAATTGCTGCTGGCCTTTGCCAGCATCTCAGAGTTACCAACTCACTATGTGATGCTGTCACCCTGCTATATTCACTGGACTGGCAAGTGCTGCTCCCATGGTGCACTAGACAAGGACATGTTGCTGCTTAACATCACCAACTGATGGAACAAAAAGCAAGAGGAGGGTTAGAATGTTACAGGATTCTTCATGTAATGGTTGCATTACTCAGTGATGAGCTGTTATATTACTTGGTTCATGTTGGGTACAGTGTAGTGAACATGACATCATTTCTTGTATAAACATTATGGTGATTCTTTGTTGCCATAGTATTATGTGAAAGTTACAATGTACTGGTTGAAGGACTACAGGAATCACTAATAGATGGCTTTGTTCCATGTAACTTAATGATGCAAATTTCAAGTTACTGAGACGTAATTACCAGAGAAATAAAACATTTAACTGACAGGTCTGATTGGGTTGGGTACGTTAAACATGAGGGTTCGTGGCATGTGTCAGTCTCTCTGACGAAACAACAAAGTACAGTCAATGTTCCAGGCTGAACGTAACAGGTTTGCAATTCCTGCAGGGCGATGTCATCCCATTGCAGACCATGTATGGTGCACAGAATAGAACTAGGGAACATTCTGCTCCGAATACTGAGGAAAATACATAAAGGAAAGAAGCAAAGAGGGTTTTCATTGACATTTCCAGTGAAGTGAATTTGACCTATAACCAAGCCCCATCCATTCTTCCGTATGCTCACATAAGCATTCCTCTTATATCTGTTCTCTACTCTCTCTGGTGGTTGTGACTTCACTGTTTTTGCTACATACAGGAAACATACATACCACATGTTGCATACCAAATTAATAGTGTTTGTGTTGAAGTGATACAGAATATTATCTCACGACAGTGGAAATCAGAGCTGAGGTGGTGATGGTCGAAATCTAAATGGAGGAGTGCTTAACAACTGTGTGCATTGCTATGGAAGTCCCTTTGCAGAAGAATAGTGAAATTATACATTATTTAAGTAGGGTGTAACTTCTGCTTTGCTCTCAGGTAGGGTAAATTCTTTGTTCTTGTGTTCTGCTTACACTCCATTATGACCACTGGATATAATATTTAACTGTGCTGTAAAAACATGTCAATTTCAACTTACCCAGAATCAGTGTTCTCCAGAGGTTGCCTTCCAGCAAGACTCTTTACATTACCTGCAGTAATGAGTCTGTTAGTACCAAATTAATAAAAAAAATATTCACAAGTATTGACTGACCAACAGGCAGGTCTGAATTTATTTGCGTTGTCTGTTGTTTCCTGCCAACATACCTACGAACTTTGTGTTAATTGTCCAATCCTGAAACCGCGCTTCTGTATTTAGTAACGTGTGTTCAAAATAATAAGCTAAATAAATAAAAAGCTAAGTTTAGAAGTCCTACTAACTGATAAAGCATTAAAT